ATTCGTTGCTGAATATGATAGGATATTCGCAAGTACGTATATATATATCGATAAAATACGACGTTCATATTTTCAGTGTCGGTTTCACATTAAGATTTAAGAACAATTTCACGGAGCATTGTAAAAGTTATTCTTTAAATATGAAGACTGCCATTATTACGTGTTGATGATAGATTTGTTAATGTTTAAAGCTTTCCAAATATTTGGTTATGTTTTTTTATATTTAGTTGTTATTTTTTCCACAATGATTATGTTTAAGGACACCACATATTGTTCTGGAACTGATCAAACTTATCATTACTACCTTTAGTTTAGAAATATTATATTCAACAATTATTATCTTTAATATGAACATCAATTATGTGAATAAGTAACTATTTGATGTTATGAATTAATTTTAGTATACCATGAATAATAAATTAATAGATAAGATCCCAACATATGTACGCAGAACTCTTATAGACATTAATCTTGTGCATTAAGTTGTTTGTTTCAAAACAATTCTAATATTTAATTTTAATCTAAATATGATACATTAATTTCTTGCATCGGTACATGTCGTTTTTGTTTTTTTAATCACAAGAACCAGGGTGGCACTTGAGCTGGTAAGATAGCCATATGTTTATAAGGGAAATTTATCTTTCATAAAAGCAATAGGGCACATTGACCATTCCTGCAGTTCGGTTCTGTTGGAGAAAAGTACATGGAAATAGCCCTACGTAGGCGACCCTTTTTTTATTTCTTGGTTTACGGATTTCAAACTCATTTCAAAAGTGAGGCAGGCCAATTTAAAAAAAAGAAAAAAAGCCTCTCACATTTTTTTTACCTGAATTTTGTCCTAAAAAGTTAGGTAGGTATGAAAAAAAATATCCTGGCGTAATAAAAGTAAAATAACTAAATTTTTCAAGAACATTTTATGATATCCCTGGCACTCAGCTTGTGCAAGGATGGCAACATAACAATATTCATGTCATGGGTGGAAATGCATGAAAGACGCTGCTATTTTGGCAGCATGGGCAACGTTTAACTCTTTCAACACCAGCAAACCAGAAGATTACTGCTGTGACATCAAGTTCCCAGAGACTGTTGTGTGATAGATGAAACCAACATTTATCACGGAGTTATCTGCTGAAATTAACATCTTTGCTACTACATGTTTGGCCATACACTATTTGAAAGGTCTAATTAATCCTATTGTTTATAAATATGAAAGTTATGTGTATTTCATTATTTAAATAATTCATGAACAACTAAATAAAGTTCGTTTTAAATAAATAATAATGTAAGCTAAAACATTCATAACGTCCAAATTAAGCGCAAATCTAACGATTTTTTCGGCAAATATAAGAATTGATAAAATCCACTTACCCATTTCTTTTTAATTTTCATTTGTTTACGCTGTTGGAACATTATTTTAAAAAGAATTACAAATAATATCTGTCATCACCCATTTCCCGATGAAAGTGGCTGTCCGCTCACTAACATTAGGAAATACCTCGGTTTTCAAAGCTTCGTATGAATAACACATACGTCCTGCCATGTCAGTATACATTAAAAAAACTTATTTTGTTTCACCGACAAAATCTGCTACAAGGTCCGTGATTGGTCAAATATAAACACGTGACCTAAGGCAGCTAATCAAATTACAACAACGAAAATTTTCAGATTTTGGCGAAAGGTTTGGGTTAAATCATGTTATTCTGAACGTTTTAGCATGAAATCGCGATCTATATTAAAAATATGGAACTTTATGGATGCATAGAGCTAGGTTTCGAGCTGTGACAAAGATTTCTTATGCATATATTTTGGCATTAAGACATCGTGTCCGAGCCGAGAAATCGAGGCGAAGAAAGCCGAGATGTCATTTGACTTACGATATGCGATCGCATGAAAAGTTGGAAATAATAATTAAGATGTCAGTTTGGCAACTTTTATAGATATATTTTTGATGATTTTATTACTTTGTAAATAAAGACGTTTCAGTGTGTGAAACGTCTTTATTTTGCTATTTGACATGTTCGATGAGGACCCGTTGTCGAAGTGTGTCCGAGAATTATATGTTCAATAACATTGCGGGAAATAGTGTCAAGTGAATATATTTTTAATCTATAGATAAAAAAATGATAAAATCAAATGGAATACGTATTTCAGACATTGTGAAATGTGATAGATTTAATAAATGAATGATATGACAAGTAGGTTAATATAATTATAAACTATTTTGACGTGGCTTGGACGGTCTACCGTGCGGTGTGACTTGTGGCTTTGAACGGCCAACAGTGTTGAATTAGTTAAACTGGTCACCACTGCGCTTTGCGTTGACAAGCTTTGATGGTATTAGAGAAGGATCCCAGCAAGAAATATCAGAGTGACTTCCCTTTGCTTTACGCTCGACGAGGGAATGAAATCTTTTTTTTTGTTTGAACTTTTTGTCGAAAAGATCGGCGGTAATAAAAAAAAGGGTAATTTTTGTTTTTATTTTTTTTAAACATTTGGACTTTGAAAGAGCGGCGCATCCGTAAACCAACAAATTAAAAAAATTGTCGCCTTATGTATTTTTTCTGGGTTCTCACCAATGAAATAATTTGTACGATTGCTGGAATTTCCAGGTTTGTTGCAGTATGCTCAGGTGTGTGACAGTGACGCTCATGCATGTCTCTAAAGGAACATGGACCATTGTGAACTGTGGTCAGCATGTTTTCATCTAACATCCGATGTGATGTACAAATATTCAAAGTAAATACAGATTATCACCAGCCTTGATTATTTGATAGGTTTCTGTACATCCAGTCAGTATAGGTCCATACCATGTTCAATATGTCTCCGCCATCTGGGTGGAGTGAAACGAAATGTCCCTGTGTACATGACTACCCTTGTCAGGTGTATTTTATCCTGTCAGCCACACCCCGGCACCTTGTGTGGTTTATTTTACGCATACATGCACTGCCGCAGACTTATTTTTCCCTTGTATGCAATCACAATGTCACACTTTCATCAGTTGGTGTGTATAAACGTGCTCTTGCCATCATGAAATAAGAATTGAAAAAAAAAAATTGTACATGTATTTGCAGTAATAAAATCACATTTGTAAATCATTGAGTACTCTTTGTTACTCTGAGTAAATTTTTTTAAAATCATAAGGATTTCTCTTTAATAGACCAACGTCAAACCATCTGACAAGTCAGAAAGCATTGTAACTTTAAAAGCCCCAATTTCTGAGGTGTCCATATTTTTCAGATTATTTGTTCCACTTTAAGGACAAAGCATAAGCCGTCTCCCTGTTATTACCGTGGTTGCGTAAACATACTGACGAGAATGTTTTTTTCCCTACATTTCATGAAATCCATTTGAAAGTTTATACCAAGACCGGAATGTGATGTTGTACCCGGAACAATTTTGTATTAGTTTCAAATATACACACTACTTAGTATTAAAAAGTTAATTTATTATCTCTTTCCTATCAAAACAATAACTTAACTTACCAATTTAACTGGTCTCTTCGTCAGTGACAAGATCTCACTTTCCTATCAAAACCAAACAATCAATTTGAGTTTGCCAATGTGGAATGACTTCATCAAAGGACCACGTACAGTTAGTCATGGATATTATGAACTTGATGAAATGTTTTATCCTAACGTTCTGTTCATTGTTTGCAATAAACATGAAAATGGTTTTTATATAGATTTAGTTTAGTTCTCTTTGGTACAAAATAAGCAAGTATTTTGAGTAAATTTTTGTTTGGGGCACAAAATCACATGGACCCTACTACATCCACCCAGTCGCCTTGATCCTAGTTTCATCCGTTCTAAAGACTGGAGGGGGTAAACGTTTTCGAAAACAACCTAAATATTTTAAATTGTCCTTCTTGCAATGACAGAACAGTAACAATATTGTGATGTTATTATTATAGCATATCAATATGTTATATCGCTCCTGGCTGCCGTCATTTGGCATAAAATAATTCCAAAATCATCTTGCGTGGAATCCATTACGGTTTCGGTGTTAGACTCACAAATTTGATATTACGCACCCGCGACAATCACGACAAAATATGAAACATATGAGTACAGACTGCTACCAAGTTCAATAAATAGTAAACAGGGGACGATAAATATTAAATTACTTAATTTCTTTTGAATTGATGTCTATTTCGCCTCGATGTGTGATAGATGTTACTTGCTTCCGGTTTCTGAAATGCCCGATGAAATTGCTATTTTTTATACTATGTTTCGTAATCTGCATAATTGTTCTTTTGAATGGTTTCCCTAGTAGGTATATCAGTTCAGAGTTTGAGTATCATCTGATATTTTTCGTTATATTCTCAGCGTGTGTTGACTTTGCTCAAATGAACAAATCGCGAGTTAGGCCACGCCTGAGATATTTTTTTTACAAAGATGTATACATCCGTGTAAATAATTCCAGAAAATTAATTTAGATGTATAAATAGGATTGTGATAGTATAACGTAATCACGTTGCACGTGGTGCTGTTTGTTTACTGCCGTTGCCATGATCGTACAACTTCCAGATAATCGATGAAGTTACGAATCAGTTTGTTTTGGTTTATTATTACTTATACTGAAAGCTGTTAATATTTAGAAATTAAGGAACGTGAGTGATTTCTTCTAACAAAAAATAATTATCAAATGTGAAAAATTATAAAATTTCGGACTGCATGCCGCTCAATGTGATGTGCCAAAAGTCAACAATGGCCGTTTCTGGTAGTTGTGTGCCGAGAAATCTGTCAGATACTTTTTTAATTCGATATGTTTTCTTTTTGAGGTAAATAAACTACTGAAGCTTTTTGACATTTTGCAAGCTCAGCATTTATGCATAAAAACAGTTATTGTGATATTTATCTTGGGGTGTCCATCGACTAAATCATCACGCACACACTGAATTGCAACAAACATTATATAGTTTGTACAAACGGGAAAAGGTAACTGTGCTTTATATGAAGTTTTAATAAAAATAAATTGATTCCGAAATATAATAATGCATCTCCTCCATATTGAGGTTGCGATTCACAATTCGTAATTATTGTAATTTTTATTGTTGGGAAAATGATCTTCATACTTGTGTTTTTGAATGTGAACAACACACATTAATTCTTTAGTTAACAGGTGCTAAAAATACGACTTTTGCTTAACTGTAAATAACGCGTAGGCTATGCAATGGCTTGCTAACTATTAACGTCTACGCGCCGTGCAAACGAGAAAGGCAAAGTTGTCAGACATTTTCATGTTGATCACAACACAATAGCATCTCTCTGATGACGTTATCGACAAAGGGGAAACAATGTTTTACTGTACTAAATTCTGACATCCATGTCAAACCTAATGACAATACTCGATGGTGAGCGCTCGGGGCATTGGATCCCCAGAGATAGGGAGTTCCAGGTTGTTCCGTGTGCAGAGAAACGGAATAGTGAACGTATTGAAGATGCACCAGCAACCCCATGACGAATGAGATCGTCAACGGAGCAGCAGTAGGCACTTTATTGTGCCATGTAACACTGGCATGAACGGATTATTTGTCAGAGCGAATATCGTGTAATTGAGGGTGAAGACGTGATATGTCGTCCATCTAATAATTCACGTCATCCTTGAAATAAAATATTTTGCAAATACTTAACAGCTACTTTGTCACAACAACAGTAATTAATTGAAAACTTGTGTGTTGAAAATACAATTTATTCTGTTACAGCAATTGAAGCTATCTTATGGCTACCTATAGTTGTAGCAGGAGCTGTTATTATCATCATCATTATCACTATCGGTTGCTGCTACCGCCGCTGTAGAAAACAGGTAAGCTATCTCTGAACCTAACACTATAACTGTGTATGGGCCAGCAAATACGTCTGATTCCGACGTGAATACACAACACTTCATATAACACAATGCAGAAGTAAATTCTTCACATTGAGTCTTTTTCTTCTTTATAGCTAAAATGGATAGAATTATCATTAAACCCCCCACATGATATCGAAAATGAGCGGGCCACTATAACTTGATAATGCCCTCATATTTGCTTGACGACGGGCCATTATCACGCCCGTTGTTAGAAGACGTCATAGGGATAGGGGTAGGTGACGTCACGTTCAATAGAGATGTCATCTGGTTTGTTCTATGACGTTTCATTTTTGGAAAAGTGGGTCAGTGACATTCGTGTTGATTGCAGTAAATGTTTCATAACCAATATTGTTGTTTCTTTTTATGTGATAAAACATTCTATCCATTTTATCTGTAATAACTGTAACGCTATTTTTCAGGGTATTATCATTGCAGAAGCCCTCGGTCTTTTCAACTGCGCTCCTTCGTCAGGCAGTTAATAGAAGACCTTGGGTTTCTGCAAATCATAAATGCCCTGATAAATATAGTATTGATGCGAGTGAATGTTAGATGGATTAACCATTGGCAGCCCAAAACCTTAACCAAGATATAATTGTTGATATAATATATCAATGTCGAAAAGGTAACGTAACTTACATGGGATATTTATTTTGCCGTTGACTACAACAGGTGCCAGCATCAGCAGACACTCATACACATGATGACTTGGTTGTACCTGTGTCACAAGGAAAACGGAAGGTAGCAGTCGTATATCCCCCTTCTGAGGACGCTGTGCACCAGGTTGAGGACAATGTTGTAGTCGGCCCTGGAGGATCTGCTTCTGGTAATGATCAACAAGGACCCGGACTGCGTAGTAATCCTGCGTACGTCCCAACTACTGCAGGTGACAGAATAGTCACAACAGGGACATTGGCAGGGACAGGTGTGATGGGTAGGTTCACTCCTTTACATGACACTAGTTTGACATTCCATGGCCAGTTGCATGTAGGGTTCTTATCCTAATACATCTACCTATCAATATATTGATACACGTTGGCTGCGCAATGTTTACACATTCAGAATGGATTTCATAAACTATATATGTTGACATTGACACCACTAACACTATACGTTTAATGCTGAAAGCATTAGTTTGATACACAATTCAATCGTCTAATTAAAATTTCAATTGATCAACCTGGTGGATACCTGGAAGATGTAATTCTAAAACCTAATAAGAAAATGTGTTTTGGGCATCAGCGCCTTACCTCATAGCCTTATTATTGGAAATAATATAAATATATCTTTGTATTTGTTTTCAAATTTGCCGCGCGATCGTACGCATACTCAGTTATCAATAAAATATAATGCTTGACAACTAGCTTTGTATAAAAGGTCTGAGTTCACTGTTTGCCCAGTTGCTTTAGTTGGTATTTTTGGAGGGGGGCCATATAGTGTTTCTCCCGAAAAACTAACATATGGTACATAACAGAACTAGTTAATACATTTACTGGCAAGCATTAAGGGCAATGGGATAGAGTTCAAATTCACAATACACGTGATTAAGGTTTTAAATTGTTACAAACGGATGCATTATCAATCTGGCTCATGATCTTTAGGGCTTTCAAGATCTGTGGCAGTGTTAGGTCCAAGTGTTAATTATACTGCTATGTTCAAAAACACCGATTTCCACATATATATGTTATTTGTTTTTAATACCACAATTGCTCTAAGTTATGGTTTGACTCTATTGTTCAAAATAAAACGATTTGTTTGTTATTTAACGCCGCAAATGGCAATATTCCACCTGTATGATGTCTATAAATAGTCGAGTCTGGAGTAGACAATCCAGTGACTGACATCATGAACATCGATGCACACAATTGGAATACGATTATACACAATCAACCAAGTCACGGAGACGGACCCCAAATTCATTAAGTTACCTCTTACGACAAACTTAGTCACTGAGTATCAGTTCTAACCTAGAATCCCCGCGGGTGAGATATGAACATGCTGATCCATTAACAGTTTGGAAATCTTCATTATTTAATGATATTAGATTTCATAAATAGATTACATTTTGAACCTGCATTATGTAAATTGTGTTTTCAATTGTTGGTCACTTTCAGTTCTAATTTCAAAGAATCAATATATATTCAAAACCACAAGTTCTATTAAAACATTTGGCATTTGTTTCAGGTGGCGATAACCTACATCCTGAAACGAGAGGAGAATATGTTGCTCTTGATAGGAATGCTGTCCAACCCTCAAACATCTATGAACATCTGACAACATATGAAGTAATTGGCAACATGTGAAGTAACAACTTGAAAGGAAACGGCCGTCTTTACATTACACATATAAGGCCCACATGAATAAATTCTCACCTTGTTTGTGCTACGAGAAAATAAGGAAGAGAATTTATGAATGTCAACTTGTGTATACGAGTACTTACTCCTTCATCAGGTAAAGAAAATGCTTACGTACTTACTTTGGAGATTTAACGTGCGCTTTCCGTCTGATGCGTATTTCGCACACGGGCCCGGCCAGGCCATTTGATGTGTTTCCGAAAGGGGCGAAAGTGGTGTGTGCAACCCAAAAGGGGGCTGTAGGGGTTGCTTATATAGAATTTGGGAATTTTGAGATTCGGAATAGATGCCGACGGGGTTGGGGAGTAGAATTAAGGGAGCTGGGTATGGTGGATGTTTGTTTGTTTATGTGGTTTTGATTTGGTAGATTATTGTGTTTTTAGATGCGTTTTATTATTCCGTTTTGATTAAGAATACGCCTAAGGCCTTGAAGTTTTCTAGTTCATTATGTGGGTTTAGTATTGCTTCTAGGGTGAGAGCCTTGTTTAGATTGAGGGTGGTTTGTAATGCGGTTCGATGTGTTAGGTAATGTGTGCAGTGGATGAGTGCGTGTTCTGGGGTTTCTAGTTGTTTGCAGTGTGGGCAGTTACCTGTAGTGTGTTTTTTTATTTTTTTAGGTGGTTATTTAGGTTGGTGTGTCCTGTTTGGAGTTTAGTGATCACTCTGTCGATTGTCTTTGATGAATGGAAAACTTTTGGTTTGGTTAGTGGTTTGCTGAGTACTTTTTTGATTTGGCTATTTGAGTTTAGATATAGGTTATGCCATTTTTTGGTGATTTTTTGCTTGTTTACGCTTTTAATTTCTGATTTTGAGATGGGTAAGGTTAAACTTATTTCTGGGATTTTGAGGGATAGTTTAGCTGCTTTATCGACGTTTTCATTACCGTATATTCCTACGTGGGCGGGTATCCACAAGAAGGTTATTTGTTTGCCTGCCTTAGTTAGGTCGTTGGAGCTTTTAAGTATTTGATTTATTAATTTAGGTCGGTTTTTGGTATTTTTGTTTTGGAGGGCTTGAAGTCCACTTAGGGAGTTAGTAAGTATTAGGATTTTTTTTGTGGTTTTTGGATTCTTGATTATGGAGGGCTGAGGCCATGCCCATTAGTTCGGCCGTGAATATTGATTGGTTGTTTGGGAGTCGGAAGGATTGTGTGGTTTTAGTTGGTTGTGTGGTATGGACTCCGAAACCTGTGTGTTTGGAGGTCGGATCTGAAGATCCGTCCGTGTAAATGTGACACCAATTTGGCCAAATTTCGTGTATGTATGCTAGTGTGGTGGTTTTAGCTATGTTTGGGTCGGTTTGTTTATTTTTTTGGCTAGCTAGTGTTGTGTCTATTTTGGGTATTTTGAGTTTAGGGGTGAAGATATTTGATTGTTTGCAGTTTTGTTTAAGATTTTAAATTTGGTGATCATTTAGGTAGTTTGTTATTCTTTGGGATATTGGGGTAAGTAAGGGGTGTTTACGAGCTAGAGCTTGGTTTTTGGGGGCTGATATTTTGGTTTATTAAGTTTTTGATGAGAGGGTTTGATTGGGACGCGGCCCAGAAATTTAAGCTTAGCTGTTCCCTGCGTAGACTTAGTTGCTAAGGCCTGAAGTGAAGTGTAGGAGGTGCCATGTTGGGTGCGTGTAATTAGCTTGAGAGCCCGATTGTTGTATTGAGTAAATTTGTTTAGATAGAGAGTTGTTTAGGGTGTTGTATATAGCGCAGCCGTAGTCTAGTTTTGATCTAATTAGTGATATGTAGAGAGAGAGGAGGGTATCTTTGGAGGCTCCCCAGTTAGAGCCAGTTAGGCATCTTGTGGTGTTTAGGTCTTTACTGCATTTAGTTGTTAGGTTTTGTATGTGAGCATCCCAGGTGAGATGTTCGTCGAAAATAAGTCCTAAGAATTTGGTTTGTTTTTTAAATTTGATTGTTTGGTTGTTAAGCTGGAGGTTTGGGGAGGCGGGTTTCATGTTTTTATGTTTGAATACTATTCCTGTTGTTTTTTCTGAGTTACAGGAGAAGCCCCATTTGTCAGCCCATTGTTGTATTTTATCAAGAGATTTTTGGAGTAAACTTTGGGCCATTTTAATGCTTTTAGTGCGGATCCAGAGGGCTCCATCATCCGCGAATTTTGATTTGTTTACTTTAGGGGATAGGCCCTCGAATAGATCGTTTATCATTATATTGAAGAGGGTGGGGCTGAGGATACTGCCCTGGGAAGTGCCATTTTCTAGGGGACATTGGTCCGATAGTGTTTGGTCTATACCCATGGTTATTTTACGATTGTCCTGGATGTAGTTTATTATCTGACCTTTGAGTCCTATTTTTTTAAGTTTTTGTATTGCCCATCGTGCCATACCATGTCGAAAGCTTTAGAGAAGTCTAAGAAGATGCCTGTGGTATATTGTTTATTAAGTTTTCCTGTCTTAATATCTTGCTCTAGTCGGGCGAGATTATCTAGGGTTGAGCGGCCAGGAGTGAAACCGCTTTGATCTGGGTTTATGATGTTATTTTGGGTTAGGTAGTATTGTAATCTATTTTTAGCCATTGATTCCATTACTTTTCATAAGTTTGAAGTGATGGGTATTGGTCTATATGAGTTAGCTTGATTAGCTGGTTTATTAGGTTTAGGGAGTGGTATGACTAGGGCCTGTTTCCAGGGAGTAGGAACCTCTCCGTTTAGGTAGATGAGATTGTATAGTTTGAGTAGTGCCTGGAGTAGTTTTAGGGGGAGTTTTTTAATTATTTGGTAAGAAGTTAGGTCTAATCCTGGGGCTGTGCCCTTTTTCCTGTTTTGGATTACGTAGAGGAGCTCCTCCATTGTGTAGGGTTGGTTTATTTCCAGATTGTTATTGTTTGTTTTTTTGTGTTGTTGTTTTCTGTTTTAAGTTTGTCTTGGAATTTTTGGCTGAAGTTGGTGTTACTGCTAACGGCCGAAAAGTGGTTGGCGAGATAATTTGCTTTTTTGGCGGGGTTGGTTGAGTTGTTAATGCGGGGTGTTTTTTTTTATGTCGTGTTAAGCCTCTACTGGCGTGGATTTTGCGCCAGACCGTTTTGGCATCTACGGTTATTTATACCTTCGCAGAATTTTTTCCAGTCTCTACTTTTGGCTATTTGGACTAGTATTTTAACCTGGTGGTTTAGTTCGTGGGCTATGTTTAGATGTTTGTAGTCGAGTTTTGCTTTATTGAAGGCTGATTTACGTTTTCGTCTAGTCTGTTCTATTTCCTCATTCCACCATGGTACCGTCGGTTTGCCTGTCTTAAATGTTTTGAAGGGGATGGAGGTTTTGGCTGCGTTTATTATATAGTCTGTTAGGTTTTTAAAATAGGTTTCTGGATCATGATTTTCTATTTCGTTTAAGTTAGCTTCGTTGCAGATATTTTGGAATTGGTCCCAGTTAGCTTTTTTGTATTGGAATTTTGGTTCTTGGTTTTCTGTTTGGATTGGTACGTTTGTATTTCCTATAGTTATGTTTATGGGGAAGTGGTCACTACCTAGCGGGACGTCGTGCACTTCCCAAAAGAAAATGCTATGAGGTAGAGAATATATATATGTACCTGTAAAGACAACAAAAGTTAAAGGATAACAAGGGGGAAACTTAACAGGTAGGCCAACAGATAATGGGCGCTGAAAGGTGATTAGCAATGGACAAATTGAAGCCAACACTTAACATGTCATTGATTGGTAATAGCAATGGACAATGGGCAAATTTTACTGTTGTTGTCCTTACATGTACATATATATGCTGTCTGCCTCATGGCATTTATTCACCTGAAGGAGTAAGTATATATTCCGAAACGTTGTGTTCCTCACATCCATAATTCATCTTATGTGTATCACTTCTAAATGCCTTACAAAGACTTGATACGAGAAGAAAATAGTCCTTTGTATGGAATACATAACTAAAACTGAAAACAGCAACACTCAATTAAATCTAGCACATCAGTTTTATTGCATTGAATTAACACGATCCAACCTCGTCTCAAACAAGATACCAAATACATCTGCCGTTCATAGTGCATTGATGCATTTGGAACTATTATTTCGTCTTTGTTCAAAGGAATAAATTATTTTACATTAGTACACTCATAAAAAAAGTTACTTCAAGATAAACACTCTTAACTATTATGTCCATGAGACAGGCTTGGAATACATATGATTGTGGACGCCAGTCCTCATACTGATCTCTTGAACGTAATGTCTTTCTTACCGCAGCATTTTCAGGCCGCTGCAGGCCGCTGCAGTACGTTAACAACGTGACAGCTTCGGTGATCGAACTCCTCATTTAATTCCAAAATCTTTGTTATTCCTTGAGTGGAACTACCAAACTCTGAAATAAGGCACTAACAATCAGGTGTTTGGATGACTCCTTCTCTCCTGACCCGTGAAGATTCCGGGGTAGAATAGGTCTTCAGCAACCCATGCTTGCCGTAAAAGGTGACTATGCTTGTCGTAAAAGGCGAATAACGGGATAGGGTGGTCAGGCTCGCTGACTTGGTTAATGCATGTCATCGATCCCAATTGCGTGGATCGATGCTCATTACATTAATCACTGGATTGTCTGGTCCAGACTCGATTATTTACAGACCGCCGTCATATAGCTGGAGTATTGCTGAGTGCGGCGTTAAACAACAACCAACCAACCAACCAACCTTCTCACTGTAAACTGTTCTGACGTTAGATACAATCACCCGTTTAAAGTATATGTATATGCACTAAAACCTTAAAGCATCATAACAACAGCAGTTGTCATTCATACAGTTGCTTGTTAAAACCATACCTCACTTTGTATATAATACATGTATCTACATTGCACGTTATACTGAAATAAACTTATAACAATTATTACCATTACCTCACTATGCCAATCAATGACATAAAGATATATTTAAAGCACTCTTTTGTAATATATTCTCACTTTTGTCACAACCTTTGCTACAAGTTAATAAAGCTCTTGTCTTTTCACCAAAATTTACATGATTTATTTGTCGTTCGATTATATATGACTGCATACTTTTCTGTCATCCTTACATGCAAACATCGAAGTAGTCCCATCACAAATATCCTGATCATCAAGTGTCAGTTTGCCTCAGACATACTACCTTGAAACAGACATTACAATGACTCTGGCTACCTTA